CAAGGGGAGGGAGGGGGGGGGGGCAGCCTTTTTAATTTGTTGGGGGGGCTAGTAACATTATGACTAAATGGTAGAACTATGTGAATGAGGGGCACACCAGTAGTAACAAGGGCAAACTGGATCAAGCTGTGTGGGAATTTGCATCTGTCTCTGTGAGTGAAAGTTATGACTGTGAGTGAAAGTTATGACTGTGAGTGGGACCAACCTCTACTTGCGTAAATTTGACTGATGTAAATCCGTACTTGCGTAAAAAAAAATAAAAAATCCAGCCATACACATTTACAGTGCATGTACAAAGTATCCGATACATTAAGTGCGAGTTGGCGTAGCACTGCAAGGCAGGCAACTGCATTTCCCCAGGTCTGCTGTGTCTTTTGCAGTGAACGCATCTATTCTAATTAGCGCAGTGCTTTATACAAATGTAAAGAATTCATTTCATTGGCAAGGCCTGTGTCTTAATACAAATGAGACCCCTCCCCTCCACCGCTTGTTCCACAGAACCTGACGTGTCCTCAAGTGATGCCACCAACATCAGGTGCAGCCTGCGGCGGGCCGGAGACCAGTACATCATCAGTGGGAGGAAGTGGTGGAGCAGCGGTGAGTGAGAGCCTGGCTGCGCGTCTGCGTGTCTGCGCGTCTGCGTGTCTGCGCGTCTGCGCCGAAAGTGCCCCGGCACTCCAGTCGCTGGGGAACAGCTCAGCCCCATTCAGCATCTCGAGTAAACAGAGTCTTGTACAGGCCAATAATAGCGTGTTAGTCATAGATTTCCAGTAATGAATAGACAGGCTGTATAGGAGTTTTCCGTAACTTCAGCAGGGAAAGTCTAAATTATGCCCAGAATTTACCTCTGTGATCAATAATCTTCATTTTAAACTGGGATTATGGCGGTCTTTGTATGTGTGTCTAACCCACATAATTGTTAGATGTTTTAGTTGCCTTGTGACAATTTATTTAGACTTGTTTTGGTAGTTTTACTGTTATAGCATAACGCCTTTGCTAGGTTAAAAATGAAATATGGTACTTATTGGACTCGTATTATCCAATCAAGTTAAGATACCAAGATAAACATCACAAGCCACCAATAAGCAATATGTGACATTGGCAGAAGCCTCTTTGGGTTTTTTGAGGTGCTGTGTAGGTTCTGCAGTTGTTGTCTCTGCGCATGAGGGTGCATTCGAAACTGCTTACTGTACAGTACTTACTGAATTTCGTTGGAAGCATACCAGTTGACCATCATTCAGAGGTGTAAAATTCAGGTCCAGAAGTAAAAATCCAGATTTTGAAGATTTTGTTTTAACCAACCAGTTGAGTCCTCTGTGACTGTGACACTTTATGCTGGTTGGGTTGAACAAAATCTGCAGTCAGTGTAGTACGTACCCTGCATCTGCGTCTGCATGATCGTCTGCTTTGGAGCCCCATGCAGATTGAGACCCTTGGGTTGCGACCCCATGAATGGGCAATTCAGCTGCATCTGCCTGTAAAGTCAGAGTCGATTTCTTTTGTAGCACAAAAAAGATTGTTTTACCGGCTGCAGTAGCAGAGCTCAACGTTTTGAAGTATCTAGCTAGCTAGCTAAAGTGATGTTAGCCTTAGAGATCGGTTATTATACCTGTATCAGCCGATAGTCAATAAAAATCAAGATATCTGCATCAGTCTGATGTGTCAGTATCGGCTGATTTTGCCGGTCAATATTTAAATTATCACTATTCAAAGTTAGCAGCACTGGAAATAAAACGATATAAAATAATAGCGATGATCACTTTGGGATTTTCCGTAGTGGAGGGCGAGGGATTTCCTCCTTATTCTTCACTGCTTATAAGAGGTCTCAAAGTACCGACCTACGAAACGTTTGTGATTTATAATTAAATCTCACCCGCCGGTCCATCTTTCGCTTTCCACAGAATAAAAAAACGACGTGACGTCATTCTGCTAATCTGCCCTCACATCCTCGCTTGTCCCTCCCCCCAATCAGCTCTTTTATGTCTTTGTTTGTTTACCCATACAGTTTGGTACAGTAGTTGACCTTTTCCCAATTAACACTGCCTTGTTCCTCCTATTTAATAGTAACAATACAATTAATCCTGTTTTCTTTGTATTCCATTAACACAAAGCTTTTTTTAAAGAGTTGAATTTAGGTTATCAAGATAATCTGTTAATTGTGATAGAAATTAAAGATTTCCAATGTATGGAATAGCCTTGAACAGTCTTAATAGGTTCTTACTTTAAGGGTTGTTGGGTAGTTGTTGGGTAGTTCCTGCTCCAGAGCTACTTACACTTGTAGTAGAAGCTCAGCCTAGCTGCACTTATGCCTAGTTGACTCCTTGACAGTATGAATGTTTGCACTGTTCTGTTTTCCTCGCTTGTATGTCACTTGTAAAATGTATGCAGATTGAACCTATTGGATTTTGGTCATAGGGTCCAATTGTTCTCAAGTTTTGTTGGTCGTTTTCCTTCTGAGCATTTTGTTATCCACTGAAAATTGCGGCTGAGTTAAAGTGGATTTTGTGTCACCTTTAAATCTCCCACTGGGATTTCTGTGAGGAAGGAAGAGGGATCTGATTCTTAAAGAAAAAAGGCGGTTTTGTAACTGCATGGAAGCTGTTCCCTGCCAAAGTGAGTAGAAAGAGCAGGGATTGAAGAACAGCCTAGTTCTGTTCATGGGAGACT